CCGCAGAGGAAGAAAGCAAACACCGGCATTACCAACTCCTAGTTTGTTTGCAAATAGTTAGACTGCCTGCCCACCTTTCGCGGCATCTCCGTGGTCCTGGGAAATTTCAGAGCAGCCTGGAAGAAGGTTTCCTCCTCGGGGAACGAAAAGGGAAACTTGCGCCGCGTTTGCTCGCGAGAAATGGAAAAGTTTGCGGCATTGTATTTTTCTGGATTGAAAGTATGCCGATCGGAATGCAGCGTGACGCAAGCAACGGCCGTTTCGTTTAAACGGATTGCTCTCCGGCATAATACGCCGCGCCGTTCTACTCTCCAGCTGTGTGTGCAACTCTGACGGCGCAGCGGAGTGGTGTGGCGTGTGGCGTGTAGCGACCTCCTCGAAGCCTCGGCGAAATAATTGATTGATGGAAATGCTCGGTACGGGAATACCGCGCGCGCGTCCCTGAAAAGCGAGCGCGATTGAAATGGAAAAACATTGGTAAAGTTTGAGTTTCCGATCAGTCAGCCTCCGTTCTCTTTCATCCCACCCTCCGGCTGCCCCGATATCAATTCTCTGCCGATAAATTTCCGCGCGCACTTTATATTCACGATATTGTAATCGGCTGAATAAATTCAACCTCTGCCATAAATCGTTCCATCAAACGTGCATAAAGGTACGGCTTCGATTAATTGATAAGAACGAGGTAAGAGTGCTATCGACGCTGTCGACGCTCGGTTCCAATGAAAAACTTCAACAGGCTCCGTGCTCTTTCTTTTCTCGTTGTTACTTCTTCTCCCTAGAATGGCCGGTCCGCGAATAAGAGACCCGGTTTCTTCCGGACCAGCGTAATACGCGCAGAATTAATTACAAGATCAAAAGACGATTTTGGGTGGCTCTCTCCCGACCCCCTCCCCTCCCCACCCCTCTCTGTAGGTAGAGAGCCGTCGTCTCTCGTTCGAGACGAGTTTGGTCTTTAGAGCCTAATCCCCTAGAGCCGGTACTCGAAACCGAGCCACTTGATGCAAGACCTCGTTAACATGAGGTGCCTCGACTCGAATCGTTCTTGAGGGGGTAGCTTGAATATTATGAGAGACCCTCTCCATACGGTATTACACCACCTGCTGCTGGCATCGCGGCGTTATTCGAACTCGGCGATTCCCTCTCTCTCCCTCGTTGGCCAAAGAGCCGGGGAAAAAGATGCACGTTAATTAAAACTCGGATAGAGTTAAAACATTTCAGAAGACTTTAACAAGGGATCGAAGTCGCGAGTTTAATCATTTTCCACGGCTGCAACAAAAATTGGACTGACACAGCTTCGCGTAGGTTCCCGTAGGTTCCCGTAGGTTCCCGTAGGTTCCCGTAAACTTGGAAAGAAGAAGGAAGGAAAAGAAAGCGTAGAAGCAGAAATTCCAGCGCCGTGCGAAACGAAGCAATTTTTCTTTCGGTCTTCTGCGATATAACTTTAATTTCACCATTTCCCGATTCCGTTTCTCCCTTTTTCCACCTTTGAACCGTGCGCAACTTAAGAAAAACTCGTTCCGCGGAGTTCCTCGGCCAAGTTCACACAGATCCTGCCAAAGGAAAACAGCGTTTACGCGCAGGCGATCGTAGTCCTCCATCCTCACGGCCTCCACTCGAATTTCATTTTCCGATTTCACCGACGTATTCTCGTCCGCTTCCCTTTTCCACCGATTTACGCTTCTACCCTCCCTTTTTCCGCAAACCCAGCCAATTTCTCCTAGATCGATTTCTCTCTCTTCAAATGACGAGCGTACGCGCATTTACACGTAGGTATGTATGTATATCGAAGGCCGCCGGCCGCATGCGCTTGAATTATGAAAGCGCGTTTGCAAGGGACTTTTACGAGGAATTTTAACCAGTGTGGTTTATTGGCTCGTTCCTTATCGAGGTCCCTAGGTTTCGCGCCGGCCCGACAGCAACGAATTAATTCCTGTTTCCGCGTCGTCAGCCGGTCACAAATTTCCCGGCGACACCGATCACGGGATCGTCGCCCGCGAAAGCTTTTAAAACCTGTCTGGCCGGAACACGCCGGAAGTCTCGCGGACGTTCCCTTGAAAAATGCGAGTTTAATTCCTTGCCGCTGGTAAGGGGGGGAGAATCGATGGATGAAAAAAAGCGTTCGCTCCAGCGTAATTACCCTGCCATTCTCCGTGCGAGCAACCATCCCTATGTACATATATCTCGGTAAATTCATCTCCTGCGATTTCTCGAGACGCCTCCGCCAATATAGAATGCCGTCGTTTCGTCCTCAGCCTCGGCGTACCCGAATGAAAGTTTTCAAGTGGTCCGGGTCGGCTATTCGCGTTTCCATAGGGATTGAAAGTTGAAATCCGGTCGCGTTGGTCGGGAAGGGGAGGAGCTCGGTTAAGACGAACAAAGTCCGAGAGAAGGAAATTGGCAGAATGACCGGAGCCCCGAACCTTTCGGACCTCCCTCTCTCCTCTCTTCTCTTTACCGTCGATAGCAAACGGCTTTGTTCCTCCCTCTCTGCTTCTCTTTCTCCGTCACCGTGGCTGGCGTGTTTCCCGAGAAGCTCCCCGAGAGGTTCCCGGGAAACACCTTGGAGCGTGTCGCGAAGCCAACGGACACACCAGGCAATAAGTTCCTTAAGGATAAGCTCCCGAGGCACCGCATAAACCTTCCTCGTTTCCCGGCAAAAGTTATCCGTGAAATATCTCCGCTTCGAACCGTCCCACTTTCCCTCGATTTCCTAATCGGTACCAGACTTCTCCTCCTCGATATTTCCTCTCGGTTCTGCCAGTCACGTTCCCCCATCAAAATGTAGATGCACGAAGAAACCGGCCGGAGGAGAGGTATTATTTTTTCCCTCGATCCTAAGCGTTATTTATGCCCGTTCGCTCGGCTGCTGCTCGCACAGCCGGTCGATTTATAAATTCCCAGGAGCCTCGACCACGTTCGTCCGCTCGTTATTATTTCCGTATCACGTCGGAAGGTTCGCGCTCGCCCGCCTGTCCCCGATTCCTCCCCGATATTTCAAAGACTTTCCTCGAATCCACGCTACTACGATTTCGGAAATCGAGGATTCGGAAGATCGACGACCTTAAGTCGTTTTGCATTCGACTCAGTCGCGACGTAAAGTAGGTTTTCCCGGGCTAAAAGCAACGATCACCTGTTGCTTAATAACGTTTCGGCTAGGGTTACGATTTATTCGCGTTAGTCGCCGGGGAAACTTATTCCTTCTTTCTCTCGCGCAATTTTAAACGATGGAAACTGCAAGTTTTCCCCGTGGAGTTTCTATCGGAAACTCGGTAGACCCGGTTCGCAGTGTATTCTTCCTGCCGTGAAATCCGAAGGTGCTCGTCCGAGGGCGAAGCAAAAAGTGGCAATTCACGAATCGACAGGGACAATAGCGTCAGGGACGAGAAGGTTCTCGTGGACGCGCGCTTCACGTTTGCCTTGTATTGTCGGTAGGGTAGGGTAGGGTAGGGTAGACGGCGTACGGATGATTCGAGGGGCGGGAAAGTCTGTGGGCGATTTCTATTGTCGACCGTGAACGCTCACGGTCGCCGATATAATTGGCGCCGCCCTGCCGGATAACTCGAAGGATAACGAGGACAAAAGAAGCCACGCCAGAGGAGAAAACAATGGAAGAACCCAAGTACCGCTGAAGTACCGAAGAACGAGGAGCGACAGCCGACTGAATCTGACATCCACCGGTGGGTGCGTCGAGCAGCCGCACCGAAATGCCAACGATTCTCGGCCGCGCCTTTTAATTGTGCTCGTTAACGGCACCGAGTCCGAGGAAAAATCCTTTCTCCGCCACTTGTGCCCGTTCTGACAACGCTCGGGGTGAGAAGTTGCCGGATGTAAGTCGTAAGCCGTAAGTACCGGATGAAAAGGTCGCGAGAAGGTGCGTACCAGTTTAGGAAAAAGTTTGACCGACACGCGAGGTATCCAACAGGTTCCCTCCTTCCTCGCGGCGTTTCACGTATTTACGAGTACAAGTAGAAGAGTCTAGATGAAAGTTGGCCAAAGTACCGGCTCGGGGCTCGATTGCTCCTTTAATTGACGAGATTATAAAAGGGTCTTTCCTAACTTTCACCCGGTGTGTCGTCGTAACAACGACCAATTGTCCGACTTAACGACGACGTTAAGCTCTGCCCGAAAGTGGAACGGATTTTTAATGAATCCCACGCGACGCAATTATCGGTGGACTTTTAATTAAAACAAAAAAGGGCGGAAGAAAAAATTGTCGAGGACTTGGCTGGAGTCGCGTAAGCCCCGTTGAAACGGAACCAGGACTCCGCGGAGAAGTTGTTCGAAACTTGGAGTGCAACATCCTCCAACTTAAATTTAACTACGAGTTCACCCTAAGGATTAACGCAGTATCGTTGTAAGTACGTGAAGAAGGAGGGCAATGTGGCCTATCTGTTGTATCGCGTGCGCCGCAAAACAAGTGAAATTAATCTCGTGTTCTCGGTGTAACGACACGACATCCCGTTATTCGCGATTTCGGGCAGAGCGGGGAGGAAAAATCTCCGACAAATACAAACTTTCCATAATTTCCATTATCCCGATCACCTCCTCGTTTCCCCGATCGTTCTACACTTTTTAACGTCCAGAGGAACAAACGCGAATAAATCGATCGACCTCTTGCGCCCCGTCCAAGAATAGAAATTTCGACGTATCGACCGAGTTGCCTTTCCCCGCTCCATAAACTGTTTTACGAACTTTTTTCCGGTATATTGAATTCTGATTCCGTTCCTCGAACACTCGGACGCCGGTATATCGGTGAACCGTCTTCTCCAAGACGAAGCCTCTGTTTCCCTCTGTTCTGCCAGATGGAAATGGGAATGGGATATCCCCGCAGTTCCAATGGCTTTTCCCAACTTTCGATCCCGCGGGACTGACCAGTCCTCGATTCCACGGGCTACTTTTAGACCGTTGCACGTTCCACGCGTCTCGTCCGTAATCGCCGCGCATTCAGTTTCCATGTCATCCTCGTACATTCATAGAGTATGCTTGTTTGACTGTTGCAGCGGAGAAATTGCCCAGCGGTTTCCCGTTAATATCTCAAGCGCCGCAGACCAAGGTGGTCGAAATGGGTCATAACGCGGTGCTGCCCTGCACCGCCGTCGGTTCACCGGCCCCGATCGTATCCTGGGTACGAGACATGCTGCCCATCGACACCACCAATCCACGCTACAAGGTTTTGGAGAGCGGTAAGTGTATCTCCTCCTCTTTCCAATTATTCCACGGACGAAGGGGGAAGGCAACTGTTCACCCTATGGCGAAGCTCGGTGGCGCGTGTCATATCTCGTCGAGTGCCAGAGTGCGTAAGTCACTGTCAACTCGCGGCAGCGTTGATCGAGTGGTCACGCGATATGGGAACATCCATCTCGTTTGCCGAGACCGTGCACCTGCTCTGCTCTGCTCTGCTCTGCTCTGCTCTGCTCTGCTCTGCTCTGCTCTGAGAGCATATATATGCATATGTATATGTATATCGTCCCTGACCGAGAACCGGTCCAACCAACAGCCACCTTCTTTCCGAGATGCCGTTGCAATAAAACCACCACCTCGTTATTCTCCCGTGGCGCCTGCACTCGTTCCCGGACAAGTCGACAACTAATGCCGGTGCATAAACCGAGTCATTCCTCTGCAACGACTGTCCTAAAAACGGAAAAAGTGAAATGTTGCCGATACGGAAAGAGGGAGATAGAGGAGCCGCGAATATAATTCGCGATAACGGCGAAAACGAACGAGCGGACGAGTGGACGAGCCGGGTCAACGGGCAATATCTATATAGCAAGGTTGTTTCGCTAACGCACGACGTAACCTATTATCATTATTTTTCCGTAGCGAGTTGCCGCGCGAACCTACATATAACGTTCACTTTGTTTTTATCGCAATGGCGGTATCATTATCGAGCGGCACGTCACGTAATACCGGCGTGCACTTGCCCGACTATCTTTACGGCGGCCGGCGCAGTTTGCCACGACGTGAAAAGTATACATTAGATGCAGGAAAGCCGGCTGCATATCGTTCGCCTGTATCGTGCACCCGGATGTATACGTACGTGTACACACGCGTTATGCATATATATCTGGCCTGGCTGGCTGGCTGGCTGGCTGCGTTCCCAGTACACGGGCGCCGCGCCGCTATAAAATTCCTTACGACCCCACTCCACCATTTTCGACCTTCCCACCTACCTGTCTCACCGCGATTAGTGCCCAATTTATTCGTCTTCGATGCCTCGAATTTCCTCCAAATTCCACGATATTTCGGCAGTGCCGCGGCGCGGCAGCGTAGCGTCGCACGTGTGTCGATGTTAGCCGATTCTGCCAACTCGTATGCGTCGCACGTATAAACGGGGTTATCGCGTGCGTGCTCCTACCATCCGTCTGCACCTACGCGGAAACACGCGCGATCGCCTGCACGCGGACATCTTATTCTCCTCCTTCTCGAGGAAACGTCGCCAGAGGGAGAAACCCCCCGCGACATGCCACCGGAGGATTTCTTCGAGCGGAAATTTCATCGGATACGACTGCCGGGCTTCCTCCTTTGACCGGCGCCGATAGCATCTGACCTCTCGATAGCTCGAAAGTTCGAGTGCGTCTTTTCGATCGCTGTAGCGCGCTTCCTTTCCTACCTCCTCTTCCGAGAGCATAAGAGAATGGAATAGGATAAGGAAGGGCAGAACGACAGCTCCACCTCCGTCAATGCCGTTAGAAGCTGCCGCCATGCGGCGCCGTCGCTACGTACATCCCATAAAATATACGGCTTAATGTATTGCAAAAAGTACACGACGAGGGCAATGTATTCGCGTTCCGCGAGAAGAAAATGGACGAAGGAGGAAAGAGCTGCGAGAGGAAAACAACGGCGACGTCAGGGACGAGAAGAGAAAGACATATACCGAAGAAAGGCGTAGAATAGTAACGCGCTTAACGGTCACACGTTATACCAGCCAAGTCGCTTCGTCCAAGGTTTTTTCAAGATTCAACGAGGCGCCGCCACACGCGTTATTCAAATTCTTTAGAAATTAAATTCGTCGGCTGCTTCGGCCGTGTATTAGGTTAACGTTCAAATTTTCACGGAACGTTTCTAACGTCCGACCATTGTTTGCATTCCTTTACCAGAGTAGCTACATCCGGCATTTGCGCGAATAACGTCAAACCATCCTTGGTTACTGTCCAAGGTGTTTTGCGCAATTACCAGGCCCTTCGAATTCCTGTGGAAAATCCGCGACGAGAGCGGCACGAGGCGTAGTAAGGGAACTAGCTTAACAAGGAGAGAGGAACAACAGGCGTGGGCAGAATGTAATTCCGAAATTCTTGGCGGCAAAGCAAACAAAAGACGAAGAGCGAAAGGGTTGGGACAGGACGCGTTACACTCGGACAATGCGGTCGCGAATCTCCATTTCCGTTTATCGCGCAAACCAGACAAATTAATTAAAGTTAGACACGGCAGGTAGCAACGCGACGCCGCCGTATTAAAATAACGGCCGCTTTGCCGAATGGCGAACACTTTACGATAATTGGAGAGAATTAAACCGACGCAGATTGTGTACGGTACGCGAGATAAACTAATTTAACGTTTCATTTAAGCTTTGTCGAACGAACCCCTGGCATCGAGCATCGAGCATCGAGCATCGAGCATCGAGTTCGCAGGTCGCGTTCGGGAACGCCGAAAGCTAGCCGGTTGCCGCTCGCTGAAAGCTAGGCAAAGCTGAACGCGTCGAGAATCGTTAAATTATATTTTGCAGTCCGTGGCCGTAAAAGCCGTAAGAGAGCGGCAGGGCAAAGTAAAAGCGCGGAGAGAGGGCAGTTAACGCTTCGTCAACACTCGTAAAATTTCCTGCATTAAAGCTGCGAGGCTTGATGAGCAGGGTCTGAACTTGGAAACAAGCCGTGGCATGCCGCTTCTTAACACCTGCCCTGGGATTCTGTCTCTTCTTTCCTTGCCTCTCCCTTTCTCCCCTCTTAATTCCGGCATTTATATCCCGATCGTTTCGAAACTTCTCTAATTGCCCGTAACGATAATGTAGAAATGCGTTGGAGGAACCGAGCGGAACGCGAAACGAACCGCGTCATTTATGCGGATCGTTCGCGAAACGGAACTCTGCCGAAAGACGCGATAGTTTTTAAGTAGGAGCAACGGGCAAAGAGGCAGGTTGCGTAAAATATTCTCGGGGAAAGTTGGACTGGCCGAGGTGCGGCGTCGGAGGGGTTGGAAAAAGTTGGAAACGAGCTGCTCGTCTCAACACCTGCGCTCGAATTCCAAGCGTTTGTTCACTCGCTGCCAATCAACCCTATTCTACTCCTTGGCCTTAAACGCTCGTATGGGTTCGAGATCCGTCCTCGTCCAGATCTGCTGGACTCTCCGCCTCCTCCTCACGCAACAAACAACGTGCCGGAGCAGAGCGTCGCTGCATTTGCACGCGATTAAAGGCTCGTTCTAGGACGCACAAATAGAGGAGGCGGAAACGTCAACGGGTAATTCGATTTCCTTTCCGGCACAACGCATTCGCGAGTCGAGGCGGCTCCCTCGCGAAAGACGTCGCATGCCCGCATAATCTTCTCGTCTGCCGTCGTTCTCTCTCTTATATTTGCCAAGCGGGATTCTGACGTTAATGCGCCGCACCGAGCCGAAATAGAGAAACGTTTACAGAGGAGGAGGTGGAAGCACCCCGTTTCCGCCCACCCTCTGTGCGCGCTGCTAGTCGCTGGAGAAAAGAGAACAAGGATCGAGCGTCGCTGTCGACGGGACGGAGATTGAACATTAATAAAACCGATGGTACTTGCCGATTCGCGAACTCGACAACGTGTATTTCTATCGCGAAGAACATTCGAAGGCGCGCGCGGTTCGACCATCGAGAACCCAATCTAAACATATTTTCTGTTTGTACTTTCACCGTTGAAAAAGCATGGCCCACGAGCCATTACCTCGCTTTTCCACTTGAACCGACCCTCTCTCGCCTGAATATTTTCCGATAATTATAATTGACTTTTTTCCACGGTCGATACGCTACCGCGACCAAGCGTAATTATGAAAGCAATTAAAACGTTGGCGAATTACGCGACCCTTCCTCCTACCTTCTTGGCTCCGCCGCCTTCGTCGCCCGAGTGAACATCCGAGAGAAAAGAGCACCAGCTGTAGCCTCCGAGTAAACGTATTTCCCGTTTGCATTCTGTCTCGATCGACGCGCTCGCTCGTCGATCTGTATTCCAGCCAGGGGAAATAGGCGATAGCGAATATAAATAGCGAGTACAAGTCACTGCTGCGCGTGTATTTTGCGTTTGCCATGCCGATATTAAATATAACCAAAGATATTTCAATATTGCTGGGTAAACGCGAATCCATCCCCCCCCTTGGTAAAAGCTTTCGACGAACAAGAGGAATCTGTTCCGTCCGACCGTCGACCGTCTCCCGGAAAACTTTCCGACTCCCTCCTCGAGATCGATCGTTCCCTAATCGCTTCGCCGAGACGGCGTCGCTTTTAAACGCACTAGCAGAAGCAGGTGGAGCGGCTCAAAAGGACAAATCTCGTAGAGAGACGCGGGGGCGCTTACGTATTCGCGAGGAGACGACGAGTGTATAGATGGATTTTCATCTTTATTCAATTTCACCTTCTTTACACGGTGAAAGCACCTTCGTGCGCGTCGACGTTATCGCGACGCAAACCTAGATAGATCGTGTACACTGCTCGAACGTCGTCGAGTTTTATCACGAGCCGAGAGGAAACGACAATATTCCATTGTGTTTGCATCGATACAACACCCTACTCTACCTACAAGCGTACGACGATTCGTCAAAATTCATACCTAATTGTTCAGTCCGTCCGCGTTCTTACCAAACAAACACACGTCCAATCCTCCTCCTTTTCTACTCGGATCGCCCTGTTTCGCGAGTTGCTCGATCGTAAAATCCCGAATTTTCGAGCGCGCTTCGGCAGGAAGAGAAGAAGCAGCGACGCTGAATTATCGAAGAAATTGGCGCAGGGAGAGAAGAGGTCTGTAGCGTGTAGGAAGGGGCCAGCAGCATGTGCAGGGAAAAGAAGCAAAGGATGAGCAACGGTTTCCGGCGTTGGGCTGTTCACGGCAATCTAAGTTTTTCACAGCTGTACTAACAACGTGCACGTGACTAGATGGGATAACAATATGACCACGCGTTCCTTCCTGGTCAGCTTACTGGAAATTGTAGATGAGGCTCGATTATGTATTCCGATCGTACGCGATATCAAGCTGCCTGGCCTGGCCTGGCCTGGCCTGGCTTGGCTTCTCGCTCGTGATGGAGTGTTTTCTGCCCTCGACCCACCCGTCTCTCTTTCTTGCTACCCGCTCGCTCGTTTACCCTCTTTCTCTCTGGTCGCCCAAGTCACGTTTGCAACGAAACCCTATAAATCCATACGGCTGGTGTCGACTCGTGGGGAAATGTTTAACCGACTGTCCCGCTCTCGAACATTAGTTACCCCTACCACCGTTAATTATCGCGGAACCGATGAAAAACAAGCAAGATATTCGTGTGACGAAAACGAGTCGAGAGACAGAGGAGGAGGAGGAGAAGGGGCGAAGAGATCTAAGTGGGCTGAATTATACCGAAGGAGTGACGTCTACGGAGATAATCACACGCCTCGTAACAGCCAGTTCATCATCGTGGTATCGTGCTAAGGGGCTTGATGCATCATGGAAATCGCGCACGAACCGGCCAGGCCAGGCCAAACAGAAAGTGGAATAGACGCGGCCTTTGAAACGGATTCCCCCCCGCGCCCCCCTCCCTTCCACCCTGCTGCGCCACTTCCTTCTTCTCCACCCCCGCGTTACATGGGAGCTTCCACGCTCGGCGCGCAGCCCGACGCGTTCCTCGACCCGCTACCGACTCAATTAGCGCTGGAAAAACGAAACGAAAGAGCCATCTTGCACGCTCCTTTCAACTCCCTCTCCTAATCGCGGGGAGGAAAGCGTATCGAAAGTTTGGAGAACGGATAAGCGGATTAAAATCGATAAGAATGGACGCGATCGTTAACGAACAGAGTTGGCCAACTTGGAAGGTAACCGTTGCTTCCGTCTGTTTCGCAGGAGCTCTGCAAATCACCGCGTCCGACGTGAACGATCAAGGAAAGTACGAGTGCGTGGCAAGTAATTCCGTCGGCACCGAGTACTCCAAGTCGGCCATGTTCTACGTAAAAGGTAGGTATCCGTAGGCTAGAGTTTACGGTTCTTGACGTCACCGCTCTGCCCCTTTAACGCGATTTCATTACAAAAACGTGGCGCGCGAGCCTCTGTTTGTAATTAAAATAAATGCTACGTAATTAAACTAAGCTGACGGCACAAAGGATTCGCGCGCGCGCCTGGAATCGCGCGTTGCAAATATTGCAGACACTTCTTGCGATGATACGCGCTCTCCTCCTCTAATTCTTCTTTGATTTTTTCCACGCAGTTCGCCGCGTCGCGCCGACCTTCTCCATTCCTCCGCCCGCGGTCAGCGAAGTGATGCTGGGCGCATCTCTGAGCTTGAACTGCGTGGCGGTTGGCGCCCCGATGCCGTTCGTCAAATGGAGAAAGGAGCCAGCCACCGATCTCACGCCTGAAATCGACATTCCAATTGGTAAAAACGTGCTGATGCTGACCGATGTCCAGGAGTCGGCCAACTACACTTGTACCGCCGCCAGCGACCTCGGAATCATACAGGCCACGTCGACGGTGAAAGTTCAATGTTCGTATCGCGTAACGCATTCTATCCTATCGTATCCTATCGTGTCGTATCGTGTCGTATCGTGTCGTATCGTGTCGCACCGTATCGAGATGGATCGAAATCACGCGTAAATCCTCGGAGATCGCATTAGCGGGCTATCTGGCTACGTAACGTGAAACGATCAATCACGGTCGCTGTGTTCCGCAGCGAGCCGTGGCGGTGGTACAGTTTCCATGACTAATCAATCGGCTTATGCGCGCCGCATTAAAAGACCGTCGCGTCGGGGACAGCGTACTTTGCTTGTCGCGCGGAACAAGCGGAACGAAGGAAGGAAAGAGGGAAGAAACACGCTGAGAAAACTTTTCGAAATTTCAACCAGTCTGTCTATCGTCTCGTCCAATCCTTTTCAGCTCTGCCCAGTGCTCCCGAAAACGTCCAAGTATCGGACATCACCGCGACTTCCGTGAAGCTCACCTGGTCTTACAAAGGCTCCGACCTCCTCCAATACTACGTGATTCAGCACAAGCCGAAGCACGCGAACCAGGCGTTCGCCGAAATATCCGGCATCACGACCATGTACTATCACGTTCGGAGCCTCAGCCCTTACACCGACTACGAGTTTTACGTGATTGCCGTGAACGGCATTGGGCGTGGTCCCCCAAGTACCCCGGTGACAGTCACCACTGGCGAGACGAGTCAGTATATACTTTTTACTACGCTGCCGCTTCCGTCTCTCTCTCTCTCTCTCTCTCTCTCTCTCGCTCTCTCTCTCGCTCTCTCTCTCTCTCTCTCTCTCATTAGCATCAACGTTTGTGCCTCGCTAAATCAACGCGGATCTCGTCGACGCGACAACAAATCTCTCTCTCTCTCTCTCTCTCTCTTTTTGTCTCTCCGAGAGTAAGCTCGCGTCCTCGAGATACGCGACGAAAGCATCGCCACACGATCATTGTTGTTTCACACGCGATTCGTCCGATAACCGATGCTGCTGCTATCTCGCCGTTGCTGTCGCCGACTTCCGATCCGCGACGAGCCAGAGGATCACCGAGGGAAGCCGATTCGCGTTTCTGCCACGTTTTTGCCAGGTTTTTGCGGCGTCGCGCGTTTCGGACGAATCTCCATCCCCGCGGAACAAGAAGAACGGGAAACTTTGCTCAACTCGCGGATTACTCGCGTTTCGATCGTGCAGCTTGCAAAAACGCCAGGGCTGTTGGCCGGCGAAGCGTGCACACTTGGTCGATGAAAAGATGAGAAAGAGATCCGGCAGCTTTTTTCGCGTGCCAAGCGGGAAAAGATAGCTTATTAGTCCAGCGAGCGCGTACGAATTTTTGCACGTAGATAATGTTTTTTGCACCACGAAGAAGGAACAACTTTTGACACGGTTTTTGAGGGAAATTATACTTTTTTTACATGCTGTCCGCCGTGGACGCACGATTTGATTCATGTAAGTGACAAGACATTTTTTTCACCTATCACCAAGTCCCCCTTTATCTGTGTCTATCGCACCATGTGTTAGTGTTTTTGTCGGACCGTGTTCACCGCGTCGCGCTTCGACGTGTCTCGTTTCGCTCTGCATTTCTCCCGTCTTTGTCCGTTCACCTCCTCCTTCCCTTAGCTTCCCACGCTCTCTGTGTACCAGCCACTCCCCCAACCCACCCCCACGTCTCTCCGTCTCTTTTCCGGAAAAGAGAAAAACCAATACGCGGAGAGACAGCACGCGAAATTGCACCTTTCCTCGATAAAGTAGCGCACTCTTCGCACCTCGTGAAAATACGAACGCAGTCGCGATACCTTTTTCGCGTCCTTTCGTATCGCGTCCATTCGTATTTTCACCGTGCATTACATACCATTTAATCGATGATCATTGAGAATAATCGTTCGTCCTTTTTTTCAATAGCGGAATCGACAAATGGAGGTGCCAGTAAGTTCAATCATATACTAAGAGTGCTGTAGCAAACACGTACATACTCGTCTCTCGCACTTTCTATTCGTTTTGCATTTTCTTTCTTTTGTCCTCTCTCTCTCTCTCTCTCTCTCTCTGTTTTTTAACACGGTTCACGTTTGTTGTTTATGTCGCGTTCAATGCTCTCTCATTTTCTTCTGCGTTGGTTTCCGGGGGTTTTTTTTTTTCTCTCTTCTCCTCTCTGTTGTGAAAAGAAAACACGCATTTCGTGGAAAATACCAAGTATCCTTTCCATTCTAGAGCCTGGTACTGCACCAAGGAAGGTTCAAGCTCGACCGTTGAGCTCCACCACGATGGTGATACAATGGGACGAGCCAGAAACGCCGAATGGACAAGTGACGGTCAGTTTTTCAGCGGAAGGAAGGTTCGCGGGGAGAAATGGAATTGACGAATCGTTCTAAACTAACGTTCGCAGGGCTACAAGGTGTATTACACAACGGACCCGAATCGACAAATGGCTTCTTGGGAGTACCAGATGGTGGACAATAACCAGCTAACCACCATCTCGGATTTAACGCAGCACATGATCTACACAATTCGCGTGCAAGCGCTAACAAGCGTTGGTCCTGGTCCGTTGAGCCTTCCCCTTCAGGTAAAGACGCAACAGGGGGTACCGAGCCAACCGGAAATGTTGACTGCGGTAGATATCGGGGAGACCAAAGTAACACTCCAATGGAGTAAGCCTGCTCATAGCGCGGAAAATATTGTCAGCTATGAGCTGTATTGGAACGATACGTACGCACAGGTGGGTATATCAGTTTCGTCTGTTAACGGTCCGTCTAATTTGCGTTGTTGTCCGTTTCAGGAGAGGCATCATAAAAAGATACCGGTGACGGAGAACTACACTCTGACAGGTCTATATCCCAACACCCTCTACTACGTCTGGCTGGCTGCGAAGAGTCAAAGGGGCGAAGGAGCCACGACCATTCCGTATCCGGTTCGCACGAAACAGTACGGTAAGCAAAGAACCAGCGGAAAAGTGAAAAGAAAGGAGTGAGTTCACGCAGCGAGGAGTGCCGAACAATGGGCGATTCGCGATTCCTCGCTGGTAGTTTCGACCGTTGTCTTTCTCGCCAGGTCGGAGAAACACCTGTCGATCGAATCGCGTCTCGTCCGGGGGCACAGCAGGTAGGAAGTGCTGTAGCGCTAGACGCTCCCGCAAGTAGCGTAAGCTAATTTACCTCGCGACACACCTTCTTCAAAGTATCGCGGAAAAAAAGAATTCTTGTTGAAAAAGAATCCCGGGACGGGTGAGTTGGGCGGGGGGGGGGTTCGAAGAACAAAAAAAATACAGAAGAGAAAGACGGAAAATAGAGAGTATCGTTGAACCGTGAAGTGTGGGAGAGTGAGAATGATTGCATGCGTTGCAAATAAAACAGCCGTTTTTGGATGCCACTTTATATATATCTATCTATATATATATATATACGTACATATAATACATATAAATTGCACTAAGCACTGCATTGATATATGTGTGCATTTTGGGCACCTCTTTTCATTCTCAATAACGTATGGTTTACGTTCGTTCTTCAGTTTTTCATTGTCTCTCGTTTCCTTGTGAATTACTTGAAAAAAAAAAAAAAAAAAAAAAAAAAAAAAACA